AAAAAAAAAAAAAAACTCAGTTGAAAGTACAAACCTCATAACAGATGGGACAATGGTTCTTCATCGAGTCCTCAACACACAAATGGTTATTACGCAGACCTTCTGAATAGCAAGATCCTACCATTTGCAAAGATAATGTCATTATCGAATGTATATATATCCCCACAAGAAAACATGCTCCTTAATGTTCTCAACTATAACTTGAGAATACCACATAACAATCGGAAAAAAGTCCGAACTCAGAGATATCTTTAGGTTACATACAGCAACATTACACATTACACATTACAAGAACAAACCAAGCAAAAAGATTTCAATTGCTTACCACACTTTGGGCAGTGAAAGTAGTTTTCTCGTCCGCCAACTCTGAAAAATAAAGTTTACGTCAAAACAAACACCTATAAAGAGACAATCACACAAAACACAGTGATAATACAGAGCTCTTACCTACAAATTCCACATTCATTACAATGAAACTGCCTTTTAGCGATCTGTCGTATCAAGTTACCCAAGTCATTACACCAACAAGTTTAGCGAAACCCAAATTGATTCTAGAATATATGCATCATTTTTTCCATTCAGCTGAATGTCTTCTTTTTTTTTTTTTTTCTTTACAAAGAAGTATAATAATGAGAAAAAAACTTACATCATCATCGTAAAATTTGCATATATCACAAAAGTATTCTCCGAACTTGATGCCACAATTCGAACAAATCCTAGCAACCTTATCCACGAGGAAACAAGCGACAAAACCACATCACCAAAACCATTCAAAGTACTCAACAACAACAAAAGAACACATTAAACCAAGACGAGCAAATGAATGACAGACAATACCTCCTGTTCAGTATCACACACTGCACAAACAACCTAGAATCATGCAAAGTCAATTGATCAAAACAAACACTAAACATCAACAATAATCATCGAACTAACAAAACATATGAGTAAATGGAATTTACTCGCTTTACATCCTGCCGGACGATTTCGTGCCTTTCTTTCGGATTGCTCAAAGCACTCTACATAAAAATTCAAAAAAAAAAAAAAAAAACCCTCAAATACATAAAATGAAATTAAAAGGAAAATACCCACAGCCCAAGAAAAACTTACAGTGGCTTCGTTGTGACAGTGACGACAAGTGAAGACCTTATCACAACAAGGGGCTCTGATTTTGCACCGTCTCCTATAATGCTCGCATCTGTCACGAAAGCAAAACAAAATTCAAGATTTTCCATTTTCCATTAAATACAGAAATTAAAACGACAAACCAAACAAAGAAACGATGAAAAAGTGGACAAAAAGGGGACAAACCCATGAAGCATTAACCCAAAATCTTCTCTCGGAACATTATCGTCCTCGCGATTGTCCATTTTTTCTGCGGCGTTATGGGTTTCTTGGGTTTCCAAGGACGGATCCATGATTGT